TTTTTTTCTTCCAGTTATGGAACTTTACTCAGACCTGCAAGAGAATGTATAAAATTACTTTGACTGGAAAAAATTAGTTACAGTAAAAGCAGAACCACATAAATTGCTACTTATAAGCCTTGTATGCTTTCTTTATCAGTTGATTCCCCTAAAACGATAATAATTTTCCTTTGGTTAAGAACTAAAAGAAGATATTGTCTATAAAACATTACTATAAGAAACTAAAAGATATTTACAAAAATGGAAGAATATACCATGCTTGTAGATAGGAAGACTTAACATTGTGAAATGTCAACACTATCCAAAGCAATCTAAAGATATAATATAATCCCAATCCAGATTCCAGCATCATCCTTTAAATAGATGGAAAAAATGTTAATGTACTTTATGTGGAAAGGAAAGAAACCTCGAAGAAGCACATCAATGCTTAAGCAGAAAAATAAAAGTTGGAGGCCTCTTACTTCTGATCTTAAAATTTACTACACAGCCACAGTGGTCAGAACAGCCTGGTACTGGTACAATGAAAAGATACATTGTTGTTGTTGTTAAGTGCCATTGAGTCGATTCTGACCCATGGCGACCCTGTATAGGGTTTCTGATCAACAGAAATAATTGATCTTTGACAAAGGACTCAAACATACTAAATGGAGAAGAGTGAGTCTATTCAACAAATGGTGCTGGCAAAATTGGAAATCCATTTGCAAAAGAATGAAATAAGACCTATATCTCACATCATATACAAAAATAAATTCAACATGGATTAAAGACCTAAATGTAAAACCCAGAAGTATAAAGATCATCAATGAAAAAATAGGGACAAACTTAGGGGCTCTAATACATGGCATCTAACACTATCAAACATTGCAAAAAATGCACAAACAGTAGAAGACAAACTTAATAATTGGGACTTTTTAAAAATCAGAAACTTAAGTGTATCAAGATATTGCACTAAAAAATTAAAAAGGGAGCTCAAAGACTTGAAATTCTTTTCTTCAACAACGTGTCAGATAGACAAGGGACTAATATCTAAAAAACGGTATGGCATCTCCTGAGAAAGATGGAAACAGAAATACCTTACGACCCAGCAATCGCGCTACTTGGTATATACCCCAAGAAATACGAGCCAGGACACAAGTAGATACGTGTACCGATGTTCACTGCAGCACTATTCACAATAACAAAAAGATGGAGACAGCCTAAATGGCCACCAATGGAATAGTGGATAAACAAACATTGGTGCAGACACACAGTGGAATACTATGCAACCTTGAAGAATAATGATGATTATAAAACACCTAACAACATGGATGAACCTAGAGGACATTTTGTTTAGTGACATTAGTCAATGGCAAAAGGACAAATACTGTATGAGGCAATTATTAAAAAAGCTTAAGAAAAGGTTTCCATACTAAATAAAACATTTTTTGATGGTTTTCAGGGGTGGAAAGGAGGGGAGAGTAATGTTAGCTAGAGGGTAAACAAATGTTAGCTTGGGTGAAGTTCAATATATAATGAGGCCCTCAGATGACAGGGAGGGCAATACACACGAAGAGAGAGGGTGGCATATGAACAATGAAGATAGGGAAAGTTAGGGAGGTAGGCATGGGCTAAATAGGGTAAAGGTAAATACTGATTTATATGCTTAGATACATGAATCAAGACATGCTGAGTGAGTAAAGGAGGGGGAAAATGTTTAAGTATTTGACTGTCTTTTGGATATTAGTTTCTCCTGCCTACTAATCAGGGAGCTATGCATGAACTCCCAAACTTGCAGCTAGTACTCATCTGACCTAGCTCAGACGGCTAGCTGACCAGAATCGACCAGATGAAGATCAAGATGTTTGATACTGTAAGCAAGTGCAAACTGCTACAATTTGATGAACTGAACTTTAGTTTATGGATGCAGCTGCTTAAAATTCCAATTAGAATGGAAGGATTCTTCTTATTAAGGAGCAAGAGTGTTTCCTCAGTGTACGGGGTTGACAGAGATGAGTAATTTAGAATTGGCTATAAAAAATGGGGGAGCAATAAAGACACAATGTGGCTGGCTTACAAGTTTTCATGAGTGTGCTCAGTCTCAGAATGAAGGGTAAGGTAGACTCCCCACTGAATATTTTTCCTTTTTCCCAGATGGATCTGGAGAAAAGGGTGGAGAGGGATGATGGTGGTAGGATTTTATAATTCAATTATGAATAACTGTTTGCATGGTTAATTGTGATTATCACAACTCTAACTGTAGGAGATATGTAACTAAAAGAGGGAGTAGTTAATCTTTCATTTCAGGAACAAACGATCCCAGGACCATCAAGAAGGAAGAACAAGAGTGGAGTGACAGAAAAGTGATGACAGCAGAGATGGTGGCAGAGGCAGTGGCACGGACAGACAGAGCAGCTATGGGCTCTAGGCTCATGAACTGAGTAAGGCTGTGTGCCTAGGGGAAGGAAGCTGGCTTGTAAAATGTACCCTTTGGACATTTAAGTGAATATACTTGTATGTGTACATCAAATATTTTTGATTTGTGAAATATAAGATATAAATGGGGAGCTGCTGGGAGAAAGTAGGATAACTGTTGTTGCAGGGAGGGGATTGTAATCATTGGATGAAATAAAGTGTCTAATTTATTGACTGTAAAACTGATAACTTTGTAAACCTTCACTCAATTCACAGTAAGTTGTTTTTTAAATTATAGAATTAAAAAATAAATACAAAAATAATTAAATGAATCATTAACAAACATCATATAAATCAAACCCTCATGGCCCTAATGAGTCCTTCTATGTATATGCTAATGTTACTCTCTACCAGGTATGGTCAATAGAAACATAGCTTAATAATTGATTGACTGGCCTGTGTTTGTTTTTCTATCCAAGGAGCTCTGGTAGTGTAGTGGTTACGAATCGGGCTGAGAACCTGAAGGTCAGCAGTTCAAAACTACCAGCAGCTCGGCAGGAGAAAGATGAGGCTTTCTACTCCCATAAAGATTTATACCCTCGGAAACCTTGTACAGGGTCGCTATGGGTCGGAACCGACTCGACGGCCCTTAACAACAACAACATGAACATATTGTTAAAGACAGGAAACTCTGGTGGCACAGTGACTAAGTACTTGCCTGCTACCTGAAAGATTGGTGTTTACAAAGCTGAAAGATGTTTCCATAAAGATGCACAGCTTAGAAACCCTCATGGAATAGTTTTCCTTTGTTCTGGAGGGTTGCTGTGAATCCAAATTGACCCAACAGCAACTTTTGTTTTTTATTAAAAACATATTCTTCAATTCAAGAATTATTTAATATTAATGGTTAACTACAATGTAAATACAAATAGCAAAGGGACAGAGGCTGTTATTGGGTGCTGCTGAGTCAATTCCAACTCATAGCAACCCCATGTGACAGAACAGAACTGCCCCATAGTGTTTTCTTTGCTATAATCTTTATAGGAACAGATCACCTGGTTTTTTTCCCTCAGTCTCACTTATCAGTCAGCAGCCAAGTACTTAACTATTGCACCACCAGGAATTACATCATGCATACACTCAAACCCAACCCACTGCCCTCTAGTCAATTCTGACTCACAGAGCTCCAGTATAGGGTTTCTGAGGCTGTAAATCTTTATGGGAGGAGAAAGATTTATTTCCTTCCACAGAGCAGCTGGTAGGTTTGAACTATTGACCCTGTGGTTAGCAGTTCTGTACTTATCCTTCAGCGATATCTACCATTAAAAGGTTTTACCCAATGGAGAATTTCTTCCAGCTTCAAGTTAAAGAGGAACTAAACATAAAAACCCTGTTTTTAGTGGAATGACAGGAATTCATTAATATAACAACAAAGATTTCACTGTATCACTTAATTCCTAAGCTTTCCAAGAGTTTGATACATGCTAGTTACATTATGCTTCAGGCAAGCCCTCCAGCTCTCACATCTGGCTTTTCTCCAAGTAGCTATGGTCTTTTGTTTTGGTTATTAAATGTGACAGCAGCTTTTAGGCAAATTATCCCAGGAGTGTTAAACAACAGTTAGAGCTGTAATCTCTACATATCCTCCAGCTGTAACAGGGACAGAGGAAAACAGTCCCCTCCCTACAGTTTCCAAAGGCTGTCATCTTTTTGAAAGCACACTGCCATATCTTTCTCCCAAAGAGTGGCTGGTGGCTTCAAACTACCAATCAGTTAGCAGCTGAGCTCTTTGCCCACTGTGCCACCAGGGCTCCTGTAACAGACGGCAGTTGAGAAAGTAAAGTTCTGAGCAGTGAAAATTACTTCAACAAATCAAAGCACCAAAGCTCATAGTCACAGAAACTTGAGACTATCTAAGTCCATTTCCCCAGTACCCTAACTAAGGGAAATAGTTAAGATTGGAAACATAAATCGGAGTAGAAGGAAGCAGTTAATGGTAGATATATCAAACCACATAATGGGCAAATAAATTTCCATACGTGATAAGCCACTGAGGATATCACATTTTTGGAACACAGTATAACAACTGACATTATAATTCAGATAAATTTATCAAATATCTATCATTCTTGTGGGTATAACTTATGTTCTTTAATACAGATGAATAAAAATGTACTTCCTACCTTCAAAATTGATTTAAAAAGTATTTAAACAGTATTTTATAGTCTTTGTTTAATGAATGTTGTTGTTAACTACCATCGACTCGGTTCTGACACATAGTGACCCTGAATACGATTTCTGAGGCTGTAAATCTTTACAGGAGTAGAAAGCCTCATCTTTCTCCTGTGGAACTGCTGGTAGTCTCAAACTGCTGACCTTGAGATTAGCAGCCCGATTCATAACCAGAGCTCCTTTGTTTAATGAAAGGCTAATATAGTTTAGGGAGTCCTGGTGTGGCGCTGTAGGATAAGTAATCAACTGCAAGGCTGGTTTGAACTGCAAGGTCGGCACTCTTCAGAAACCCTATACAGGGTTGCTATGGGTCAGAACCGACTCGCCAGCATTTAACAACAACAACAATATATTTTAGATACATTTTAATAATTAAAAAAATAAGCTTTGAAATTTAAGGGAATATGATTCAGTAGTACGAAAAACCAATGTGTGTAAAACACATTCTGTAAAACATATCAGAAAATCAAGCATGGAATACTGCTCCATCTAAATAATGAGATATTTGCATTAATGCATTGATTGATAATACTTTGTGCATATCTACAGAAATTTATCGTGAATGACTAGCTCTCATAGCCCTTCAATTGCAAAGAACATGTCTTAATGATTGCCTAATAAATGAAATAGCTATAAACCCTGCCCTATGAGCTTAAAACCTATTTCTGCCCCAACTAACTATCAAATTTCTTAGGCAAAGGTAATATATTTTTTTATATGTGGAGAATGTCAAACATAAGCAGTGGTATCCATGAAATAACTACTGTTAATTTCTCAAATGAACACTGAAAACTCTGACTGGGAAACTGAAAGAGATAACCATTCACTATTCAGGAAAGAGTAACAATTACATACACATCTACGGCACAGGTCCATTTTCAACATCTTCAAATCCAAAAAGTATAATGTAATCACATGCAGTAACAAGAACATCAATAAAAATCTTAAAAGTAATGCATAGTTTACCTTCCCATAATTGAAGACTCTGTGGAGCAACAGAAGGCCAGATGACAAGATTGTTGGCTTCAAAAAGAGGATTCGTGAATTTACTCAGTTCACTGGGTAGATTGACCCAGGACCACAGAGACATAGTTTTTTGCTGTAACTTCAATTTACATCTGGTTGGAAAAGGAAACAGTTAATCTGTGTCACTATTAAATGTTTCTCTTAATAGCACAATTTTTCCTTTATATATGTTAGAAGAAGGTTGTTGTTCAGTGCCATTAATAGCAACCCTGTAGTGTTTCCGAGGAGCAGAATGTGGGTTTGAACTTGTAGTTAGCAGTCCACTGCTTATCCCAATAGCACCATACTAGGACCCCATGTTAAAAAGCAGACCACAAAATTTCGAGTTGAGGAACAAGGTGTTGTAAAATAAAATTATTGTAAGAAAACATAACCAGTATTATAACTTTAAAAAGCTACAATGATTGTCTGACAGGCTTTCAAAGCTGGCAAGAAGGATAAAAAACTATAATCTGATCATTCCAGGTTAAGTGATAAACCTAAACTGAGAGAATATTGGCAAAACCTATAATATACCTGAGATTTTATTTTAATTTAAAAAAGCTAAAAATAAAACAAAAACTTTCCAACTTTTTTGTTTGTTTCTAACAGCCCTAGATAATAAAAAAATCGCAAAATTAAACATATTTTTAAAATAGATCATGTCAAATCTCAAAACTTAATTTTTTTTTACTTTATAGGAAAATAAATTACATGTACAGAAATGGTAGGCTCACAGATTTAAACAAATGCATAACTTTAAAGCAGTATTCATCACAATCCTGAAACTCTATTTGAATACTCTGTCGTCGTTGTTAAGTGTAGTCGAGCTGCTTCCGATCTATAGAGATCCTCTATAGGGTTTCCAAGGAGTGGGTTTGAACCACTGACCTTGTGGTTCAAACTGACCTAGCACATTATCCCACAGTACTGCACCAGAACATGATAATACTGTACCAGGGGATAAACTGTTAACTAAAGATAATGAACTGAAAAAGACAATACATTCCATTTTCATCAAGTTTTATTATACATTTACTTTGCCTCTGAAACAATTTGATAATTCATAGGCTGCATGTAGGTTAACTATGTGCATTCTTTTCATGCCAGCAACAGAAATAATCCAGACTTCAGGTAAAATGGTGGACTCAGCAGACAGACCCTCTACAACAAAGATCCGAGACCAATTAAAACAGACACAGAATGAAAACCCTGGAATCCTGACCTGCAGAAGGAGGATTAGAGAAGCAGACTGAGTACTTGTTGGGAGGAAAGGCTGAGCAGGAACAGCAAGAGAAGACTGACTGGTAAATGGCAGGCCAGCAAACTTTGCATGACTGTCTTGAACCTTTGCGAGCAGCTTTGGCCACAGAAAGTGCCCTGGCAGAGCACAGTCTCACAGGTGACTGAAAAGGTGTGATTCCTTCTTTTTCTCCACACTCCCCTGGTGACCAGCGGTGTGACCAGCTCCCATCCTCATCCAATCCCAGCGCAGACCCTGTTGCACTGGAGTTCAGAGCCACGTGTTTGGGAACCAGGCCACTGAGAGGCAGGGCTGGCTGCTCCAATTTGGTGTGCAGCTTTGGTGCCTGGATTCAGGTGGGCTTGGTTTGGGACCTACAGAACCCACAGAGCTGCCAGAACAGCATTTAACCAGCTGTATCAAGGGTCTCTACAAACTATTTCCAGATTGAGTGCCCTGAACATAGATAGAAAGTAGGCCGAGAGGAACTCTATCTACGGCTAGGAACTTCACTGTCACATCACTCCCACATTTTACCTCATGAGCTCCTTGGCTTACAGGAGCACCCGAGTTTTTTCCACTCCAGGTCCAATAGCTCCACTGTTATTTTGGGTTTTGCCTTTTCTTGTTTAATTGTTTTTGTCTATTCTTTCTCCTCCTCCTTCTCTTTCCATTCCTTTGATTTTTATTCTATCTCTGCTTTTGTTTTTCCTTCTTTTCTTCTGTTTCTCATTCTTCCTCTTTTTTCCCTTTTGATCTTTCTTTACTACTGTCTACTTTCCTTCTATTTTCATCTCTCCTCTCACTGGGTTTTCTAAGTGTTTTCTTTTTGATTTCTTCCTTTTAGTCCCTCTATTTTCTGTTCTATAGCTCCATTTTCCTGTTCCACTTTTCATTTTCAGTTATTAAATTTTTCGTTAATTTCTTCCTTTTATTTTATTTTTCTCTACTATAGCTCTAATTCCCTGTCCCTCTTTAGTCTTCATAGTAGTTATATTCCAATTTTATGATTTCTGCCTGTTTTTACTTCTTTTTTCTCTTTATTATCTTGTACACGGGTGGTTCCTTTTTTGCTTATTCTGTTTTATTTTCTCACCCTACAGGAGACAACATTCATACCCATACTGCCCAGCCACAAATGTACCCTCTGTAGCTCCACCCACTGAGCAAAAGCCAATACCAGCTCCTAAACCAATGATAGACATTATGCTGAGTGAAATCAGTCAATCACAAAATGGCAAAAATTGTTATAAAAAGTTAACAAAAGGTTTTCTTGATAAAATAAACAATCTATGATGATTATGTGGGGAGAAGAGAGGGAAAATGATTCACAGGCTAGAAGGTAGACACATGTTAACATGGGTGACAGGGCAGGCAATATACAAGAGGGAGGTTAGCAGAGGAAAGAAGAAGGTAGTGGGAGACAGGGAGGAATACAAGAGTCAAATGAATAGACAGAAATACTGTTGACCATTGGTATATGGAAGGGATTGTAATCATTGTAATGATATAGTAGCTCAAAATACCAACTGAGAGGAAAGGAGTCTTCACATCAAGGATCAAGCCTATCCCCTCCATATAGAGGGTTGGTTGTTGTTGTTGTTTGTGCCGTGGAGTCAGTTCCAACTCATAGCGACCCTGTACAGGGTTTCCGAGGCTGTAAATTTTTACGGGAGCAGAAAGCCTCATCTTTAGGGTTGGGCAACTTAGACAGGGGCTGGCTTACAAGTTTTCAGCAGGGAGTTTTAGTTTCAGAGTATGCAGGGAAAGGTAGAATCCCCACTGAATAGTTTTCATCTTGTCTAGATGAGTCTGGTAAAAGGAGATGGGGGTAAGATTCTTAAGATTCAATAGTGAGTAATTGTTATCATGACTAATTGTGACTCACAACTTTAAAGGTAGAAGTTTTATAACATAAAGGGGGGAGTAGTTAATCTTACATTCCAGGAACAGAGGCCCCTAGGACCATCAAGAGAGAAGAACATGAGCGGAAGAAACATGGAACCCAAGCCAGAGAAGCAACAACACCAGAGATGGAGGCAGAGATGCTGACATAGAGAGATAGAGCAGCTGAGGACTCCAGACTCCTGGAAAAAGAAACACTGTGATGGCAGCCAGGTATCTGGCTTGTAGAATCTGCCCTTGGGTTGTTCAAATGGTTATATATTTCTGGACGTTTCTGTGTACATAAAAAACAGAGGGAATAGAAGCAAATACTGTTAAAAGATGATGCATGGAGGGGATTGTACCCATTGCAAAATGAAACAAAATACAACAGGGTAAGTGTAAAACTGATAGTCTCCCATGTAAACTATCATTCAATTCAAAATAAAAGCTTTAAAAAAAATAAAAATAAATGAGATTAAAAAAAATGTTAAGTACTTTCCAGTCGGTTACAAATCACAGTGGCCCTGTACAGAGTTTCCAAGAAGCAGCTGGTGGGGTTGAACTGCCAACCTTTCAGTGACAGTCAAGGACTTATCCTACAGAGCCACACCAGGACTCCTATTATCTCTTAGGTAGGTTTTAAAATTTTGTTTTTCACAAACACTATGTTGGTAAGAACTAGTAGCTTCTAAGAAATTACACATACTCTTGGATAATCTATAGATATTGTTTTACCTTTTGTAATTTCCTTCTAATCATATTTTAGATGTTTCAACTTTTGAGATTGCATTTTATGCACTAAGTGAAATCACTAAGTCATGGTCCTACTTGCACTGACAGTTACTCACTATATAAGGTGGTGCTGCAGGATAATGCACTAGACTGCAAGGTCAGTTTGAACCAGAAGTTTGGAGAACCAAACCCACCAGCCAATCCTTGAAAACCCTATACAGGGTCACTATGAGTAGGAACTGACTTTACAAAGTTAGTTTTTTTTTTTCTAGCAGTTTTGCAATTAACAAAACAAGGTTGCTTTTCAGCCTGAACATGCCTAACAACAACACTGTTCTGACTCTATATTAAGAATGAAACTTAGAAGCAAATACCCTTGTGAGTGAAGAACAAATAATATAAATTATAAATGCATCCATCAAATTACTTTTCTAGTCAAACTTTTGTAACTATGTAGTTCCAATTAACTATAGTGAAAGGAAAAGAAAAAACCATGATAACAGAATTTTCAGTAGCATCCAAATAGTTCTACATCTTTGCCTACTTTAAAAAATAAAGCTCTAATGATGAAAATGTAGAAATTAGATTCTAAGTAAAAAATATGCACTGGTCTCTGTTTGGACAAATTTGAATCTAATGGAGCAAAGTCTGAAGGAGTCTTGGAGATATGGAGGTCAATGGATTGGCTTCTAACCTATTGAACTACTCTGGGAGAAAGAGGTGGCAGTAAAGATTACTGCCCGGGAAGTCTTTTGGGGCAGTTCTGTTTGATTCTAAAGGGTTTCCATGAATTGCAATCAATGCAATGGCAATGGGTTAGAACAAAGTTTATGATTTGCTCTCACTTAGAATAACAATATGGTGTTAGTGATTCCTACTCACAGAAACCCTGTACAGTGTTTCCAAGGCTTTAACTATTTAAGGGAGAAGAATGCCTCATCTTTCTTCAGCAGAACGACTGGTAAATTCAAACTACTGAGCTTGCAGATAACAGCCCAGCTCAGAATCCACTATGCTAGTAGGGATCCTTGGAATAAAAATATACATTATATAATTTAATTTATACTAAATTGGACAACTTAATTTAAAATGTCTCATAGACTTTGGGCCAGTTCCAGGAGAAGGCCATGTTGGGTAAAGTACAGAGTAATTAGAACCAATGAGTAAAAGGATACAGTGGTTGGCTCAAATAGCACAAGGATTATGAGGATGGCGCAGAACTGGGCAGTGCTTTGTCCTGCTGTACACAGGATCTCTACAAGTCATAACTGACTCAACGACAACTAGCAAGAGCAATTTATTTTAACTGTAACCTCTACCTTCTTATAAATAACATTAATGTAGAACCAAAGTCATGCAGCACCAAATCCTAGTCTCCTTTAGGAAGTGACCAAAACCACTAAAATGGACATGTTCCCATGTGAGTTGTGCACCCACCTTTCACTTTCATTGTTGCCCAGAAATGTTCCAAACTGTGAGGCATAGGCATGCTCAAAGAGCATGATGAGAAAATGCTCATTAAATTCAAAAGAGCAAGGGAACTGGCGAAGGATCTGCCACACACAGTCCAAGAAGAGAAGAAATACAGGCGACTCCCACTTCTGTTTAGTGTTACAGTAGGCCGACTGTGCACAGCGTTGTTGGAATGGGTGACCAGCCTACAAAAAAAGATGGAGATATGATCATTATAGCCTAGAAAAGTCCTTGAGATCACATTACAAATTAGTCTAATAACATTTTTCACACAGTTATGGTCAATCTCTTATTAATAGGAACATCATTTAATCAGGGACACCTGGCAATGGTGCTGTAGGATCAGCACTGGATTCCAAACCACAAGATTAGTAGTTCAAACCCACGAGCTGCTCCTCGGAAAACCTATACAGGGTTGCTATGAGTTGGAACCGACTCAACGGCACTTAATAACTGCTATTTAGATAAACAAGTTTTAGTTTAAAATGCATTCAACAACCAAAGAAAAAGATAAAATTTTCAAATACTTAATATGAGTGTGTAGATGTCATCAAGTTCGTATTGTTAAGTACCGTCAAGTTGGTTCCAACTCATAGTGACCCCCTATAGGGTTTCTGAGGCTATAAAAGTAGAAAGCCTCATCTTTCTTCACCAAGATGGTATCAGAGAAATATCAATTGTCCTTGGAATATCAAGTGGAGAAACAATGCACTTCATTTCAATTATGAGAAACATCAAATAAATCATTCCAGATCTATAACATTTGAAACAAAGTTAAAGAACATAAGCTCTTTAAGTACAAAACAAACGATAGCTATCCTATTGGTGGTGGTGGTTGTGTGCCACCAGTTGGTTCTGACTCACAGCAACCCAATGTAAGGTTTTCAAGGCTGTAAATATTTACAGGAGCAAAAGTCTCATCTTTCACCCATGAACTGATTGGCAGAATAGACCAGCTAACATGTGGTTAGCAGCTCAGCTCGTAATCCATTACAGTACCAGGGATCCTTGTGTTGTTAAGTGCCATCAAGTCAGTTCCTACTCACAGTGACCCTGTATAGGGTTTCTAAGGAGTAGGTGGTAGGTTTGAGCTGCTGACCTCGCGATTCAAACCCACCCTGCAGTTCAGTGCATAGTTTAGAGCTCTACACCAGGATTCCTTATATATCATATTATATGATATTAAAATTTTAATTACATAAAGAAAAAATTTTTTCCATGAATAAATGAGCATTTTTATTTTAAAAATAACATGTTCTTCATTTCCCTCTCTTTTCTCCCAAAAGAGAACTGCAAGAGTCTGGCATCTCTAGGGCAGCACTCTTACACAGCAACTGAATACTGACCTAACCACAAACCACACCTATGGCAGTTTTTCACAGACCTGCTTTGACTTTTGAGTCTTTATATAACTTTATCTGACAAAGGTAAGTTTATGAAAACTTTCCAGTAGGACTTGCAGGTGACACTGTAGCATAAGCACTGGACTGCAAACCGCAATGTCAATACTTCAAACCCACCAGATGCTCCTGTAAACATTTAAAGTCTCAGAAACCCTATACAGGGTCATTGAGTCTGGAAAGACTCTATGGCAGTGGGGAATGGGATTTTGTTGCCCATTAAAATGGTAATATCTACATAAACAATTATGTTCATTTGTTTCTTTATTGTGCATTCTGATGAATCCAGCTGAATAGATTTTTATCAGATCAGGAAAGTATATTTAGGATGATCTGACTTAAACAGAAACAAAGATCAGTTGTCAAGTAGAGTAGACATTACACATTGTTGTTAGTTGCTGTGGTGGTAGTTTATGTGCCATGGTTGGTTCTGACTCATAACGACCCTGTATAGGGTTTCCGAGGTTATAAATCTTTACGAGAGCAGAAAACCTCATCTTTCTCCTGCAGAACGGCTGGTAGTTTCGAACTGCTGGCCATTAGATTAGCAGCCCAACTTGTAACCACTCCGCTACCAGAGCTCCTTAGTTGCTGTGGAGTTGATTCTAATTCTTCGCAACCCTTTATGTTACAGAGCAGAAATCCTCCATAGGTTTTCTTGGTTATCTTCTTAATGGAAGCAAATTGCCAGATCTTTTCTTCCATAGTACCAATAAGTCAGTTTGAACCACCAACCTTAAGGGAGCAGTAAAGAACAAACAATTTGTGCCACCTAGGGATCTGATATTAGACATAGCAGCATTAACACATACATTTGAGTATAAACTGTAGGAGCCAGAAATGAGTTTTCTCCAGAAATACTTCTGGTTTCAGGATATTTCTAAGTATTTGTTTTCTGTCACTTTACTTATTTACTAAGCTAAACAGTGCATGCAAATATGAATCCCTGACTGGGGAGATTTCATTGAACCTGATGAAGTCATAATGTAGTAGTCAGCCAGCATTGTATGGCTGCATTGTGTTGCATCCTCAAGCTAAACATATGCATGCAGCCTGGTCCCCTGACCTCAAATAATTAATTTTTCTAGATCTAATTCAGGAAACATGGCACACAAAGAATAAATCAATTTTATCTGGGAAGAGGTTAAAGACTCATAGACTTAATGAAAGCAACATTTAACTGGATGTTAAAGGATATGAAGGTTTTATCTGTTTGGGGAACACAGTAGACTAGACAACATGAAAAAAGGCAGATAGTACTAAAGTACACACCTTCTACCTAATAAGTCCTTTACCTTGCCCTAACCCACTTGTTTATATCTTGTATCTCTATCAAGACGAACCTTCTGGAAAACAAGTATGTTTTACATTTCTTTGTATTTCCTCTCTTTGCAACAAAGTACAACTAATAAGAGTTCATCAAGTGAATGAAATGATAAATGAGCAATGCAGGCAAAGAGTGGCACAGAAAGTGAGAGATGACAAATATTTACCAAGAGGAAGATAGATTACTGTCCTCCAAGATATTAAACACACAATTCCCTGTACAGGGTTTCTGAGGCTATAAATCTTTATGGGAGCAGAAAGCCTCATCTTTCTCCTGAGGAACAGCTGGTAGTTTTGAACTGCTGACCCTGTAGTTCACAGCCTGATTCGTAACCACAATTTCACACATTATGTCAGGTACCACAAGACTGTACATTACCATCAATTCTTAGCAGTTGCTCTGAGAACCAATTCGTTTTCTCACCTGTAGCCACTCTCTTTCTATCAGGGCCTCAAAACCACGGATGGTCCTGCTTCTTGGTTCCAAGATGATCTGGGCCAGAGAAGTAACCTGAAGTGTGGAATCAGTTCCTTCGGTTCCATGAATCAGTACTGATGCCCCTTCCCTGACAGGAAAATCCAGAGTATAAATGGGATACTCACAGCATGGTCAATGAATCTGCTTTTAATAAGCATTCACTGAGTATAATGGTTTCAGGGTCTAATGTATTATGTCCTGTCCAGTAGGGTTTACAGCCTAAATAAAGCATCTGATAGAGGAGAGATTTTCTTAGAACAAAAAAATAAAACAATAAAAAACTATAACAAGTTCCACATTCACATGACAACCTTTTAATTTATAACAATTCATATACATTCTTTTAGCTGAATTCTCTTTCCCTTTACAAAACCAAAAATGAAATCTTATCATTCTAGGTGTTTACCTTTTCTGCTTTAATAGTGGACTATGGTCTTTTTTTTTTTTTTTAATTCAACTTAGAAACATACACTTAAGAGTTATTTTTCTGTATCTCTCTGTTCTCGTTTCTACCCTTCCACCATCAGCTGACTTTAAGGACACCTTTAGAAACTAATAAATCTAGGAAACAAGTCCTGAACCACACTTTGAAAAACACGAAAACGGGGGGAAAAAACCCCAAAACATAAAAACATCAATCTAGAGAGTGGCAATGGTGGCACTACCATGATAATGACAAGGTATCTGGTACCCATTATTCTAGAAAGAATCACCAAAAAAAAAAAGAGGAAATAACAAAAACTAACCAGCCATATATATCTTTTATGAAGAACATTTTGGAAAAAAGAAAAATGAGCTGAGCATCTTAACATATAATTTGCTTGATCATATGCGGCTGTCAATTCTGTCCCCATAGCTTACACAGCTATGCTAAAAAGTTCCAGCTGCCCTGTTAAGTGCCACCCAGTCAGTTCCAACTCATTGTAAGCCTCTATGGAGTTTCCAAGGAGCAGGTGTGAATCTACAACCTTACGGTTAACAGTCCAATGCTTACCCCACAGTGCCATGCAAAGATTCCTATTATTTCCGTTTTTATTATAAACATTTCCCCATGTTTCTAAGCTACCTTTAAAAGTATTGTTATAATGGCTATACAATATTCTATTAAATGATGAACTTCTTGTTGTTGATTATGTTAAGTGCTATGAAGTCAGTTTCAACTCAGAGACCTTGTATAGCATTTCCAAGGAGCAGCAGTTGGGTTTGAACCACTGACCCTGTAGTTAGAAGTCCAGTGCTTATCCTACAGGTCAACACCAGGGCTCCATGTACTAGAATTTACTTAAATCCTGTAAGCATTTAGGTTCTTGACCATTTTTGCTATGCCGTAGAAGATATACTTAGCTTTTCTTCTGAATTATTTAAGGGTTCTTAGTTTGAAAATTACAGATTCTGTAAGGGTCACCTGTGACTAAGTGAACCACCCCAGTCTTTAGATAAAAACAAAATTACTAAAGAGTAGGAATGAATATGTTAAGACTTCTGATATATACTGAATGTACATCTCTTAATTATCTAAATTTAATTCAATTAATTGAAGGCCCACTTATACATTTTGAGGACTTAATGATAAGGACAGATTTTAATGTAGGTATAAATAATAAGCTAACACATACCAGGAAAAGGAACTCAAGAATGGCACAACAAACAAAACCTCCAACCCTCACAAGAATTCTGAAGTCCCTACTTGTTTCAGGTCTTTGGCCCAAAGGAACCAAGGTGGAGATAACATGCTGTTCTGTCCCCAGGCTGTCTTGGTTTGTGTCACCTGGTTGTCATGCCAGAAAACTGAAGCAATATCAAAGTGGTGACAAATGTCTATTATAGTTCATGTTTAGTAAGAAAAGAGAAGCCTCTCGCTGATCATATAAGGGAAAATCTGATAAAACTTAGATTAAAAGGAACAAAACCCTTAATGCCAACATCACACCATACTGTCACTGACATCCCTGCCACATAACTTTGGGCTTTAATACTGATATTTTCAAACTATACAAGCTTCATCCTAAAACAAAGTCCACTGAATGCAGGGGAATCCTAACACTAGTCTTCCTCTGTCACTCATCACCACATGAAGTTCAGAAACCCACTCTATTTACAATTCTTCTCCAACCATGAAAAACTGCATACATATTTTCCTAATCTGGAAGTAACAATAAAACAAAGTCCCCAAAAATTGTCCCATCCAACTCTGTGATGGCAATATTTATGCCTAACTTATTTTTTTCAGTGAAAATCCCCTCCTTACAAAGGGCATTCTGAGCTTCTGCAACGATGTATATCAATCTTTCTGTCTCTGTGCAAGTCTTTTACCTCAAATCTCAAGGATTCGCAACCTTGAAATAAATAAATTAAATTTGCTTCATATACTTCATATATCACTACCATTAGCTTTTTCTCAACTTGAGATTCAGATATAACTGCACATACCAAGTCATTCATAGTATCTCTAATAAGAGATTAGAAAAAAATCATTTTACTATGTAACAAAATTGTATTTTTTCCTTTTATTGGTATTCCAAAAGTAAGGAGGCAAGCATGGTCCTATGAGAAGAGATGAGACATGTTTCTTTCTTTTTTTTTTTTTTAGTTTAAGAAAAGTAAAATTAATAGATTTGTTACTTCAAGAATTTAACAGACAAAAGACGTCCTTCAGTATTTTATTTTTAAATGTCGTAGAAGACATGTATATGTATATGACTCACATAATTAAATGCCACAATCTGTGTACATAGCTTATCTGTAAATGACTGGTGTTAATTACTCTTATGTTAAAATTTATAAAAAAGATTACAGCATATGTAAACGTGTGTGAGAAAAGCAAAGTCTAGTTGTCAATACATATCTTCAGGAATGCTGGAATGCACTTTACCTGTCAATACACTGAGCCGCTAAACAGGCAGTTGTCAGAATCTCTTTGATGTGAGTCAGCCAGTTTGAGGTCACCAGTTTACTGAGCCATCGGTCCATATTATGTGTTTGGTCATTGCAAGCTTCCACAAGTTTGATTAAGCTCTCCTGAAGAATGTGATACCTTTCAAAAACAAGAAAGTGGAAAAGTAAAAAGGGAAAATAGAATGATAAACAAAAAAACCACAACCTCAATATATTCCAGAGCAAAAGCAGCTCATATATGTTAAAAATATTTACCATGATATATAGTAACTTAAAGACTGGGGATTAAAAAAAAAAAGTTTAAAAGATGCTACAAATAAGTATCTGTTATGATACAGTGTTCCATGTCTGAAGAGACTGAGATCATTTCACAGAGCTGAATTATTGGACTAGGGGAGAGGGCCAAAGCACTGTTCTTAACGCGATGTCACACCCATATCACACTTCCATCTGTCACACTTTCCCCACTGACCTAACACTGGGTACTCTGGGACCAGCAGCAGTGACATCCAAGGCCATATCTGATCCCATTTTGTTTTTTGCTTTTGTTAACTCCAACTCCCACCAAGCCAGAAACATTTTTAAAATGAAATCGCTAATGTTTCTGAACTAAGGAAAACATAAATAAATGTAGCATATCTGCTTAATAAGTTTGACCACCATGATCTAGAGACAGAGGAACAGGCCTTGTGGTGATAGGCTTTCAGAGGGGAATTCCAAGAGAAAGAACACTACTTCATTAAAACCCACCTGTCTGTAGCCAATAAAAGTCTTTTACACACTCATAAAACAAATGCAATGTGAGGATATCCAGCCAATTTTTGATAGTTAATGTGTAGGTTTTAGACATTTGTGATTATTGAACCTGGTGGAAGTTCAAACCTACCAGGTGATCCACAAGAGAAAGGCGAGGCTTTCTGCTCCTGTAAAGATTTCTGGTCTCAGACATCCTGTACAGGGTTGCTATCAATAGGAACTACCTTGATGGCCATGAGTTTGTGGCTTTTTGAGGGAAGGGCTCCAGGAGTCAGTCCCTGGGTGGTACAAATGGTTAATTCTTGGACTACTAACCTAAAGGTTGGTGATTTAGCCCATCTAGAGGTACCTGGGAGTCCTGGTGTGGTGCTGTAGAATAAGCACTGGACCACAAGTTGGTTTGAACTGAAAGGTCAGTGGTTCAAACCCACCAGCTGCTCCTCAGAAACCCTATACAGGGTTGCTATGAATCAGAATTGACTCAACAGTACTCAACAACAGAGGTACCTCAGAAGTAAGGTAGGGAAATCTGCTTCCAAAAGGTCAAAGTCTTGAAAACCCTATGGAGCTCAGTTCTACTCTGTACACAAGGGTTGCCATGAGCCAGAATTGACTCCATGGTAACAAACAACAATATAAACAAGGGCCCACCGATTCTAATAGCATTTACCTTCAAATAAGAATCTATTAGTCTCTCCAGAATCTTTTACCTCTCAATGGACTTATGAATTCTCCTCCACTGGGGATAATGAGCTTCTTGTTCAAAGCCGCCTCCTTTGGCTCTAGCTTGCTGAGCCACATTTAGTGACCGGGTGTCAATGATGTAGCCTCTTTTTCCTGCCCGAAGGGTAGCATTTATCAGCTTCTCATCTTCCTTGCACCGTCTCCCATTTGTGCCAGTGAGTGGCTGACCACTTCGCATAATTACCTAAAAGCGCAATTTAGTTTAAAACATGGTAACAGATACTTTTAAAGTTTCGAGAAAAAAAAAACAGAAGTTACTTAGCTGGATTAAAGGAAATCTCAGAAACAAATTTTGTAACACTTTACAGATAGATTTGATCCTAAACCAAAGAAAGGTTTCCATGTATTTGACAATAGTTAAAAACTATAAAATAAAAATAGGCCTTGCAGTTTTACATAATTATTCTTCCAACAACTTTCAAATACTTTTCAAATAATTATAGTATGATACTGCAATTCATTTATAGTCACTGAACTGAATATTCAATACACCTGGACAGAAATAAAGACACTACTAGCCTTGTTGTTGTTAAGTGTCGTCGAGTCAGTTCCGACTTACAGGACCCTGTATAGGGTTTCAAGTAAACCTTTATTCAGTATATGAGTATATCTAGGGTTGACAGGTTGGAGCAGGAATACAAAAAGAGAACAGACACCAATGGTGAAGCAGAAAATGCTATGTACTATTCATCTTGTTTTGGAAAGCAGTTTCAACAATCTGCTTTTCTGTTATTTATTTTGTAATGGTCCTCTTCCTCCTTTTTCAGTATTCCAGGATTTGACCACTTATTTCCAAAGACCAGCTATATAGTTTGAAAGGTTTACTTTTCAAACTTTTCTCAAGAAATCAACATAATCATCAACTACAGAGATCTTCTCCCCAGGAAATGGTTCAAAGGTTATTCCAAGAGATCCTATAATGTATATTGTTACCTTAACTACCTCAATATTTAACATGATCAAGAAAGGTCACCCAGAGGATAACATCAATATTTTGAATCTACATCTTACCATGTAAGGGCAACATTTAACATAACTCTAAAATTTTAAAAAAGCTATCTTAAGTATCTGTGTTTTTTACTAATAACGAGGAGTAAAAGAAAAATAAGAAATGACTATAACTCATCCAGAAGCAAAACTTACTGGTTGTGAGAAAATCAATATTTGAAAACAAATATCCAGCTATACCCTTTTTAAGGTATCATATAAAGACAGTTAAGTGTAACAGAGCTACCATATGCCTATTTAGTTCCTGATTCCCCATGTTTACTTAAGCCATGACATGACATGTCACATGTCTTCTCCTTTGTTAAAATAAAAAGCATCTGCTCAGTTCACTCTTCACATGGGACTGCGGTGAGAATAAGTAAAAGAAAGTGTTATGGATTGAATTGTGTCCTCCAAAATTATGTGTTGTAAATCCTAGTCTCTATGCCCAAGGTTATTTGGTAATGGGTTGTCTTTGTTATGTGAATGAGCATTTATGAGATAATAAAATAGATTAAATAAGCAAGTGAGAGAAGCAGAGATGGGGAGGGAAGAATGCCAGGCCACATGAAGATGACCCAGAAATAGAAGTTCAAAGAGACCTTCCTCAAGAAACCAATAGAGAAAGAAAGCCGTCTTCAAGAGCTGGCATGCTGGTTTAGAAATTATACTTCGACTTCTAAACACTTAAACTGTTTAAATGAAGTCCTAGCAGGAGAGACTTGTCTAAACATGTCAATGAACAGACACATATAACAAGGAATGCTTCTAAGAAACGTTTCCTAAACTAAAGCCTCTCAGGAGATCCAACAGTAGCACTGTATACTCACCATTCCATTTTTTTTATGATAGTAGCTTAGTACAGGGAAGCGCCCTCCATGTCGGAATGCAGCTACCTTTCTTAGAGCTTCATCATCAGTAGAATTGGGCACTATGACAATTGGTGGGTAAGAGGGGCAGATGGCAAATTCCTTATTGATATAGCTTAGCCTCCATTCACTGGTCTGAAAAACACAAAATACTTGAAGGCTAAACAAGTATTTCAATACCACAGAATAATCTGAACAATTTTAGAGGACTTAACTTTCACACAATGGAGAAGCTATTTTCAGGAATTTCTGGGATAGGATACTTGTTATTATGTGCTGTGGAGTTGGTAGTGACTCATAGAACCCTGTATATGGTTTTCAAGGAGCTACTGGTGGGTCTGAACCACCAACCTGAGGTTAGCCTATATTTAAATACTTAGAAAAAGAATTCCATACTTCAGGGTATGCTTCCTGTATTGATGGGCAGCCCTTAGTTCAAATACAGTCCTTCTCATATTGAGCAATCTCTCTCTATAACTTCCTCATATTGAGCAAAATCCGCTCTGTAACTTTCTCTATTGGTTTATACCATGATTCCAGACAACACAATACAAGTTCCCTGTATCACATGGCACCCTGTCAAATACTTGAACGATAGCTTTGCCTCTCTTTAGGCTTCTATTCCTCAATTTGAATATAAAATATATATCTATAAGAGCTTTCATTATCAGAGTCAGAATCATATTCATGTTTTTCTGGGGACCATTTAGTTTGTTAATTGTGATCTTAAAGTATAACACAGAAAGACTGTGATTCTCCAGTGATATTTCATTATCACAGATTAGCATCTCTGCTCTTTAAATCACATTGTATGATCACTACTTCTTTGATTCCCTCAGTACCCATTAATAGAGATATGAAGGAAGAAGTAAAATGGTGGAAAATGAAGAAAAAAACCTTGGTTCTAATAACCTGGTATTCTTGTCATTAAGTGATGTCAAGTCAGTTCTGACTCACGTGGATCCTATGTACATTGCGTTTGAACCACTGAGCTTGCAATTCAAACCAACCTTGCAGTCCAGTGTTTATCCAATAGAGCCACACCAGGACTGCAACATGGTCTTAGGAATCCAAATGATAAAAACACAAAAATTATTCCATAGAAACAAATGTGAAAGATAGATTTCTAGTACTGCCTTAGGTACACAGGAGATTAAATGGGCTTTGGGAGGCTCAGACCCTAATTGCTACATAAAAAGTTATTTCTATGGAGACACTTTAAAAATACCAAACAATTAATTCATAACATGTTGGGACTGTTTATTCAGATCTTAATTTTAGATCAACATAATTTTTCACAATAATAATTTTTAAAAATCTACTGGAATAAAAATCACTTGAACAGCAACACTAAGAACAAATCACACCCTTACTCAACACCAAAAAATAAAACTCAAACCAACCAAACCAGTTACCATCAAGTCAACTCCAAATGACAATCCTATCCACTAAGTAGAAAGGCTGTACCACTAATAGCTAACATACATTTTTTTTAGGCATGAATACGTAAACTTTGCTTTATCACATCACTCTTTAAAAAGGAACTGATCATTTTCACAACTTAAACTGTTGTTAGATGCCATAGAGTCTGTTCCAACTCACAGTGACTTTATGCACAGCAGAACCAAATACTTCTGGTTCTGTGCCATCCTCACAACTCTCATGGTTGAGCCCATTGCTGTTGCCACTGTGTCAGTGTATCTTATCGCAGGTCTTCCTCTTTTTTGGTGACCCTCTAATTTACTAAGTATGATATCCTATTCCAGGGGCTTGTCTCTCCTCACTAGTTCAAAATGTAAGAGATGAAGTTTCACCAGCCTCGCTTCTAGTGAGTATTCTGGCTGTACTGCTTCCAACACAGATTTCTTTGTTCTTCTTGCAATCTATGGTACTTTTAATATTCTCCTCCACCAACTCAAATGCATCGATTCTTCTAGGATCTTTCTTATACATTATCCAACTTTCATATGCATATGAGATGATTAAAATACCATGGCTTGGGTAAGGCATACTTTGGTCCTCGATGTGACATCTTTGCTTTTAAGAAACTTCAAAGACGTCTTTTTGCAGTAGATTTGCCTAATGCAATGTATCTTTTGATTTCTTGACTGGTGCTTCTATGAGTGTCGATAGTGGATTCAAGCAAATGAAGTCTTTGACAATTTCTATCTTTTCTCCATTTCTGTTATTTATTGGCCCAGTGGTAAGAATTTTTGTTTTCTTTACACTGAAGGCTGTAGTCTTTGATCTTTTATCAGTATTTCAAGTCCTCTTGGCTTCCAGCAAGCAGGTCGTGACATCTGCATACTGCACATTACAAATGAGTCTTCCTTCAGTCCTGAAGCCACATTCTTCCTCATATAATCAAGCTTCTCAGGTTATTTGCTCAGCATACAGACTGAATAAATATAGTGCAATTCTACAATCCTGGCACACATGTTGCTTGATTTTAAACCATTCAAGTAGCTCCTTGTTCTGTTCAAATGGTTGACTCTTGGTCTATATATAGGTTTAAAAGGAGCCCTAGTAGTATAGTGGATTGTGAGCTGGGCTGCTAACAAAAAGGTCTTAAGTTCAAATCTACCAGTCGCTCCATGGGAGAAACATGAGACTTTCTCCTGCTGTGAAGATTTACAGACTCAGAAACCCTATCTGAAGCCGCTATGAGTTGGAATGGACTCAAAGGCACACCACTAACCACCACCACATGAGCACAATTAAGTATTCTGGAATTCCCATTTTTCACAATGCTCTCCATAATTTGTTACGGTTTACAACAGTCAAATGTCTTTGCTTAGTTAATAGAGCACTAGAAAACATCTTTCTAATATTCTCTGCTTTTAGCCAAGATCCATCTGACTTTGGCAATGATATCCCTGGTTTCACATCTTTTGAATCCAGCTTCAATTTCTGGTAGCTCCCTCTCAAAATATTACTGAAACAGTTTTTTAATTATCTTCAGCAATAATTTTATTTGCATATAATATTAATGATATTGACTGAAGATTTCTGCATTCTGGTGGGTAAATTTTCTTTGTAATGAGCACAAATATGGAACCTTCCCAATCAGTTGGCCAGGTGGCTGCCGTCCAAATTTCTTGGCATAAACAAGTGGCCTCAGTTTGCTGCAACTGCATCAGTTTTAGCATTGCATCAGTTTGTTGAAACATTTCAATTTGTATTCTGTCAATTCCTGGACAGTGCTTTTGATACAGCTTAGGCGTCTTTCAATACCACTGATTCTTAGTCATATGCTACCTCTTGAAATGGTTTAGCATTGACTACTTTTTTCTGATACAGTGACTCTGTGCATTTCTTCCGTCTTCTTTTGATGCTTTCTGCATCATTCAATATTTTGTCCATAGAATCTCTTAATATTGTAAGTTGAGGCTTGAATTTTTTCTTCAGTTCTTTCAGTTTGAGAAATGCTGAGGAAATGGTCTTCCATTTCGGTTTTCTAATACCAGGTTTTTGCACATTTCATTATAATACTTTGCTTTGTCTTCTTGAGCTACCCTTTGTATTTTCTGCTCAGTTCTTTTACTTCCTCCATTCTTTCAATTGCTTTAGCATTTCTACTCATGAGAGCAAGTTTCGGAGTTATCTGCTGACATCCATTTTGTTTTTTTCTGTCTTTCTAATGACCTTTTGCTTTTTTCTTGTATGATATTCATGATTCCATCCCACATCTCTGGTTTTCAGGCATTAGTGTCTAATACATCAAATCTATTTTTGAGATGGTCACTAAATTCAGGTGGGATATATTGAAGGTCATATTTTGCCTGTTGTGGACTTGTTTTAATTTTCTTCAGCTTCACCCTGAACTTGCATATGAAATTATGGTCTGTTCACAGTCTGCCCCTGGCCTTGTTTTAGTTGATAATGTTATTCCTGTGAATTCCTTTTGGTGAGGTCCATGTGTATACTCATCTTTAATATTGTTGAAAGATATTTGTAATGAGTAAGTTGTTGGTCTTGCAAAATTCTATCATGTGAATCTCCAGCATCATTTCTATCACCCAGGCCATATTTTCCAACTACTGATCCTTCCTCTTTGTTTCCAACCTTCACATTCCAATCACCAGTAATTATCAATGCATCTTGATTGCATTTTTCATCAACTTCAGACTGAAAAAAATGGCAGATTTCTTCAGTGTCATCATCACTAGCTTCAGTGACTGGTGTGTAAATTTGAAAAAAAAGTGGTACTAACTTTTATATATATGTATATTATTCTATCACAGACAGCACTGTACTTCAAGATAGATCTTGAAATACTCTTTTTGACAATAAATGTGATGCCATTTCATTTTCTCATACGTCTGTCAGTTTGTCGTACTGTGGTAGTTTGCATGTTGTTATGATGCTGGAAGCTTATGTCAGCCATATTTTAAATAACAGCAGGCTCACCATGATGGATAGGTTTCAGTGGCATTCCCAGACTAAGACAGACCAGGAAAGACAGGTAGTCCACTTCTGAATGGTTAACCACCAAAAGCCTGCAAAATATTGTTAGTTATAGTGCTGGAAGATGAGTTCCTCATGTTGGAAAGCATTCAAAGAGATGCCTCCTCAAAGTAGAGTTGACCTTAATGACATGAGTGGAGTAAAGCTTTTGAGACCTTCATTTGCTGGTGTGCCACTACCCATAATGAGAGGAAACAAGCTGCAAACATTCATTAATAATCGCAATGTAGAATGTACAAGGTATAAATCTAGGAAAATTGAAAGTCATCAACTAAAATTGGGTGCTGAATACTTTTCATTACCGAGAGTTTTCAAAAACTAACTCACAGCGGAAGAGTAAAGTTCAAACTCTTGCTCAGGAAGGAAGGAATGCCAGCCATCTTCTATCACTTCAAACATGGGCCGGTAAAAGAAAGGGTACATCAGTGTGATGGAATCCAGGGTAGACAAAGCCTATGGGATAAAAAGAAAGGAAGTAAAGCAAAAAGGAACATACTACCATTTAAAGAAAACACTTTTTAACTGGCAAATTATTATTCAATAAATATGCTGTAATGAAGACAGGTACCTAAAATAGATACCTAATACTTTCTTTACACCAGATGTTTTTGTTGTTAAGTGCCGTCGAGTCAATTCCGACTCATAGCGGCCCTATATAGAGTTTTCTGAGGAGCAGCTGGTGAGCTTAAACTGCCAACCCTGCAGTTCAAACGGTTTTGCAGTCTGGTGCATTAACCCACAGTGCCACACCACAATAGTCTTAATTGAAACTAAATTTTGGCTTCTAGCATGGAAATATGGTATCTGGCACCTAACATGCATTCAGTGTTTACTAAATAAATGAACCAAAAGAAAGAAAAAATTGTGTCCACCTATTCTAGGAGAAAAATGAAACAACTCCTTCTTGAAATCATTTAATAAAGACTAATTAAAAGAACCAAATACTACTGGGGATCAGAGAACAAATAGTTAACCCAGTTATTAGCAATACAAATGTATGCAAACTATTTAAAATCAGTATCTGCTATAACTACAAAAAGAGTAATACAGTTTAATGAATAAGAATCAGACTATAGTCAGGATGCAAGACTGAAATTCCAAATCCTCACTGTGCAATAGTGGTGGTGGTGGTGTGTGTGGAGTCAATTCTCACTCATAGCGACCCTGTACAGAGTTTCTGAGGCCGTAAATCTTTACTGGAGCAGAAAGCCTCGTCTTTCTCCCGTGGAGTCACTGGTTAGTTTCAAACTGCTGACCTTGAGAAAAGCAGTCCAACTGGTAACTACCAGAGCTCCTGAACTGTGCAACAGTGGTTAAGTAATTTAACTACTCTAGCTGCTTCTATTTCCTCAATTGTAAAATGGGGAAAATAACAGTTCTTACTGGACTGTAGGATAAGCACTGAACTGCTAACCACAAAGTTGGCAGTTTACCACCAACAACAACCTAGTAGGGCTGTTGGGTAGTAAAGGAAGGAAATGTATAGCAGGCTTAGGACTTTCTGGGCACATAATAAACTCTAAAAAAATACACCAAAAACACAAAACTATTATGTGGCCCACATACGCAGAAACTCTACAAGTGTTCATTTTCCTTCCTTTGTATGTTGTTGTATGAGTTGTATGAGTCGCTACCAACTCATAGGGATCTTATGCACAGCAGAATGAAACACTGCCCGATCCTGGGCCAGCTTCACTATTGTTGTCACGCTTGAGTCCATTGATGCTGCCACTTGGCCAATCCATCTCACTGCGGTCTTCCTCTTTTTCTCTGATCCTCCTCCTAACCAAACATGATATCCTTCTCCAGCAAATGGTCCCTCCTGACAATATGTCCAAAGTATGAGAGATGAACTTTGGCCATCCTGGCCTCCAAGGAGCACTCTGACTGCACTTCTTCCAAAACAGATTTATTGGTTATTTTGGCAGCCCAGGGCACTTTCAATATTCTCCTCCAACACCACTACTCAAAAATTCTTCTATGGTCTTCCTTATCCACTGTCCAGCTTTCACATACCTATGAGGTTATTGAAAATACTATGGCTTGAGTCAGGCACACCTCAGTCTTCAAGCTGACATCTTTGTTTTTCAACACTTTAAAAAGGTCTTGTGCAGCAGGTTTAGCTAATGCAATACATCATTTGATTTCATGACTGCTGCTTCCATGAGTGGTGATAGTTGATCCAAGAAGAATAAAGTCCTTGACAACTTCAATCCTTTCTCCATTGATAAGAATGTTGTTTATTGGTCCAGTGGTGAGGAGTTTTGTTTTCTTTTAATTGAGATGCAATACATACCGAAGGCTGTGCTCTTTGATCTTCATCAGTAAATGTTTTAAGTCCTCTTCACTTTCAACAAGCAAGGTTGAATAATCTGCATATCGCAGGTTATTAATGAGTCTTCCTCCAATCTTGATGCCATGTTTTTCTTCATATAACCCAGCTTCTTGGATTATTTGCTCAGCATACAGGTTGAATAGGTATGGTCAAAGAATCCAACCCTGTCACACACCATTTTAATTTTAACCCATTCAGTGTTCTGATGTTCTGTTCGAACAACTGCATCTTGGTCCATATACAGATTCCTCTTGAGCATAATCAAGTGTTCCAGAATACTCATACTTTGCAATGTTGTCCATAGCTTGTCATGGTCCACATAATCAAAAGCTTTTGTGTGGTCAATAAACATCTTTCTGATATTCTCTGCTTTCAGTCAAAAAACATCCTTCTGATATTCTCTGCTTTCAGTCAAGATCCATTGGACATCAGCAATGATAGCCCCACAGCTTCTTCTGAATCCGGCTTGAACCTCTGGAAGTTCTCTGTCAATACATGCTTGCAGCCATTTCTGTATTACCTTTAGTAAAACTTTACTCACATAGGATATCAAAGAGACTTTCCAATGATTTCCACATTCCATTGGATCACCTCTCTTTGGAATGGATACAAATATGGATCTCTTCCAATCAGTCGGCCAGACAGCTGTCTTCCAAATTCTTGGCATAGATGAGTGAGTGCCTACAGTGCTGCCTCACTTTCTTGAAAGATTTCAATTTTTATTCCATCAATTCCTGGTGCCTGTTCTTTGCCAAT